TCATTTTCAGCTTCTAAAAATGATTTTGGTTCAATTTGTGAAACAAACGCTGAGTTGCCACAAATATTTCTAACAGAGGAACAAGTTTTTATACCTTCCACCGCATCACCTATGATGAGGTCATTGGGGTGGCCATGAGCATACTTCTATTCTTTTGGTAGATTTGAGTCACTTTCTGGAAAAGCATATATTTCTTGAAGTTTCTCCATTGTCATTTCTTCTTCATGTTCGCGTAATGGATTTTCTTTATTTTCCTTTTGTAAATACTCTCCATGCTTGGTTGATCTTCTACAATATCATTACTTACAAGATTCTTAGAAATAATATCGTTAGATTCATCAAAAACAACATGCACAGATTCTTCAACAAGTAGAGTTCTTTTATTGAATACTCTATAAGCTTTACTGGACACAGAATAACTAAGAAATATAATTTCATCCGATTTAGCATCAAATTTTTCTAAGTTATCTTTATTGTTATTTAATACAAAGTATTTACAACCAAAAACACACAAGTGACTAATATTAAGTTTTCTACCTTTCCAAAGTTCATAAAGAATTTTCTTAAGAATAAGTCTAATCATGGCACGGTTTATAACATAGTATGCAGTGTTAACAGTTTTCACCCAAAAATATTTAGGCAAATTATTTTCACAAAGTATAGTACGGGCCATTTCTTCAAAGTTCTATTTTTTCTTTCAACCACACAATTTTGTTGAAGAGTCCTAAGGGCTGAGAAATTATTATCTATTCCTAAGTCATCACAAAACATAATAAAATCATCATTTTCAAATTCTCTACCATGGTCACTCATAATACTACAAATATTAAGATTTTTCTCATTTTGAATTCTTTTACAAAGTTTTAAGAAATTATAAAAAACTTCATTTTTGTGTGCTAAAAGTAATACCCATGTATATCTAGTATAATCATCAACACAACACAAGGGCATAAGATTTTCCTCCTAAACTTAATGTTCTAGATGGTCCGAATAAATCAATATGCAAGAGTTAAAGCGGTCTAGTAGTTGAAACGATATTTTTGGATTTAAAAGAATTTCTAGTTTGTTTTCCAAAATGACATGCATCACAAAGTTGATCTTTTTCAAAAATAATTTTTGGTAAACTTATGACTAACTCATTTTTTGAAAGTTTGAAAATTAAATCAAAATGAACATGTCCTAATCTTCTATGCCAAAGCCAACCATTATCATTTATAGCAGATAAACATTTAATGTTAAAATGAGAAGATAAATCATGTAAATCAAACACATATACATTCTCATGTCTATAACCTACAAATAAAATTTTGTTTTATAGGGTGTTTTCAATAATGCAATGAGTTTTCTCAAAAATAACTCTATAACCTTTATCACATAATTGACTAATGCTAAACAAGTTATGTTTTAAACCTTCAACAAATAAAACATTTTCAATAATAGTAGAGGGATTTTTACCAATACTTCCTACACCAATGATTTTACTCTTGCTATTGTCGCCAAAAGCCACATATCCGCCATCCTTTGGTTGAAATGTGGTGAACATAGCTTTATTTTCAGTCATGTGCCTCGAACATGCACTGTCGAGATACTATCTATCGTTACTGGATTTTGTCTTGAAACATACCTACAAAAATTTAATTTTTCTATTAGTACCAATTTTTTCATGAGTCCATGAAAGTTAGAATTTGATACTCTTGAACTGTCCTTACGGATCTACATTTTTTTTATTTTAGCAAAAAGATTTCTTTTAACAGGACATGAAGGTGAAATATGATATTTTGTATCACAAAAATGACATGTGAGATGAGAGTGATTAGAAGATGAATACACAAAGTCATTTTTAACAGCTTTTAATTTTGAAAGAGGTTTATATCCAATTACAACTCTACCAAAAGTACGATTTTGATTTTTAAGAATTTTATCTAAAATTTCTCTGCCTTAAGTGAATTTTGAAAGAGTATTTTTTAAGTCTTCAATATTTTCTTTCAAAATAATTTGATCATTTTTTAAAGACTCATTTTCTTTTTGCAATACAACTAAATATTTTTCAGAAATTGAAGACTCATTTCAAGTTAAAATCTCATTTTTTATTTTTATTTTCATGGCTTCATTTTCTAAAACATTTATCTTGGGAGTCAATGATTCATTTTCTTTTGATAAACTTGAAATTACTTTCTTTTGACAATTACTTTTCAAACTAAGTTTCTTAAATTTAGCATGTAATTCATCAAAAGTTAATTGTAATTCATCAAATGTAAAGAATTCGTCAATTACCTCATTTTCGTTTCCAAGTGCCATTAAGCATAGGTTAGCAACCTCATTTTTTCAAACTTCGGTTTCTATGTCGCTTTCATCACTATCTTCTCCCCATGCTACAATCATAGCTTTCTTCTTGTCCTTTTTGAATTTTTTCTTAAGTTCTGGACATTCTGATTTGTAATGTCTAGGTTTGCTGTATTCGTAGCAAGTTACTTCAGATTTTTTGTGATTTTCTCCTATCTGAAAATCTCTATTGTTGAAATCTTTTCTGAAAAAATTTCGTATGCCTTGTTTCTTTCTCACAAATCTTTGGAATTTTCTAGTGATGAATGTCATTTCCTCATCCTCATCTGAATCATCTTCCTTATCCTCTTGATATTTCAAGGTGAATTTGAAGGCTATTCATTTTTTTTGTTGTTGTCCTCCTCTTCCTTTGCTTCTTACATTATGAGTTCATGAGTTAAGAGAGATCCCATTAACTTATCTAGACTTAACTTTGATAAATCCTTGGCTTCGGTAATGGCAATAATTTTGTCTCCTAACTTTTTGTCAATGACCTAAGCACTTTTCTTACAATTTTAGTATTAGTATATATTTTTCCAATAGAAGTTAAACCATTAATAATATCAGTAAAGCGAGTAAACATTTGAGGAATAGTCTCATTAGACTTCATTTTAAAGAGTTCATAATTATGGACTAGCAAACTGACTCTAGATTCTTTAACTTGTTCGGTTCTCTCATGAGTCACTATAAGCTTGTCCCAAATTTCTTTTGCGATTTTATACATGAAAATTCTGTTGAACTCGTTGGCATCTAAGGCGCAGTATAACATGTTTGTAGTTTTGATATTAATTTGGGTCATTCTAGTATCTGATTCATGCCACTCATCTTCAGGTTTTGGTACCCTAAGTCCATCTACGGTTTTGGTAGGAATTTTTGTATTATTGCAAATAATTTTCCAGCATTCATAATCATTAGATTGAATATGTATGGTCATCCTAGTTTTCCAATAACTAAAATTTGTGCCGCTAAATAGTGGTGGCCTATTAGATCCGTGTTCTTCGGGTAAAGAATAACTAGGGGTTGTTATGATCTACTCTAAGACGGTTAAGTCACACAAACTAGAGTTTAGGCTCTGATACCAATTGTTATCCCAGATAAGCAACCCAAGAGGGGGGTGAATTGGGTCCTTAAAAATTTCAAAATATTAAAATTAACACAATATTCAGAATTTTAATAAATAAAAAAATAGAATAATAATTATCAATATAAAAGTAAGAGAGATATGGAGAGAAAATCAAACACTGCGATTTATAGTGGTTCAGCACGCCAAGCCTACGTCCACTCCCCAAGGAACCTCCTTGAGAATTTCTTTACTATCAATTGAATAAATATACCACCAAGCTTGTGGATTTGGCACAGAACTTACTCTTATCTATTGAGCCTCACTCAACAATAAATGCCTTACCCTTACAAAATCTCTCACAAAAATAAGGAATAAGAATAAGTGATACTTAAACCCTCTTTTACAATAATTTTTTCACAAAAAGTAGATATGAAAGTGTAAGAACAAAGGCTAGACTTAGATCTGAAAGTGAAAGTGAAAGAGACAGAGCAGAATACAATGTACTCAGAATTTTGAAACTTAAGAAAATTTTCTCTTCAAGTTCTTGATTTTTCTCCACACCCAACACTTCTATTTATATACAAAAATATACCCGTTGGACGCTCCTTGCTGACGTCATGGCTTACATAAGCACGCTTTTGACATCATGGCTTACATAAGCACGTTCCTGATATGATGGCTTATATAAGCACGCTCCTTGATTTTAAATAGTCAGCCAATGTTAATAATTAAAAAGATAAAAGTAAGACTAATTTTTTTTTTCCTTTTTTGTTTTTTTCAAATATGGAGCCACCGTTTTTGTAGACAATTTAATATAAAGTTCACAACTTTCAAACAAACAAATGATTCGCTCCATCTTGTTTATAATATATATATATATATATCTGAGAGAGGGGGTTTTGTGAGAGATTGTGTGAATTTGAAGCGATAATTTGAAATGTATGTTATAGTATTATTATCCTATAATAGAGAGAAGAGACTGATATGGACAAGGTGCGAGCTTGAAGCAGAGAGAGAGAGAGAGAGAGAGAGAGGGGAAAACTCGTTTTCAGATATTTTTATCAACGTAAAAGGGTAGGAAAAGTTGGTGAGTAATAAAAGTAAGGAAGAGAGAGAACACCTTTGCGACAGTCTTGGCTGCGGTCGGAATGTATATTTTGGTTTTGTGGTTGGAATGCATATAGGTTGGCTATTTTTTATTTTCATATTTTTAAAAGGCTTTTTTTTTAAACAAAATATTTAGTTTTCAAAATTTGGGCGATTTTAAAAACAAAATAATTAGTGTGAAAATTTTTAACTTTTTTTTAAAAAAAAGGTTCACTAAAATAAAAGCTAACTTTTTATTATTTTGGAAGGTTAATTTAGGAGTGTTTGGGAAATGATTTTTTTAAGCTTTTTGGGTTAAAATAACACCTAAAAATAAAATAAATTAAAATAATCAATAAAACAAAATATTATATTAAACTCATAATCATTTCACTTTTTTTTTTTTTTTTTTTTTCATAAACATCACATTCAATTATAAAAAAATTTAACTATCTTTCTAAACATAAAAATTTTAACCCCATAAAATAATCAAAAATTAAAATAACAATTTCACATACACCCCCACGTATTCCGAAACGAAACGCCTCTCTCTCTCAGACACACTATCGTTGCAGTGAAACGAATTTCGCGGTCTCTCTCTCTCTCCTCTGTCTCTGTGCCTGTGTGGACTTCCTTCTTCTTCTTCGGCGCAATACGAATTCCAAGAACGATTACTTGGCTTCTTCTTCTCCTTTGGTTCTCTCTGCAATTCCTTTCATTGCTTTCATTCTACGTTGTTCTTTTATTTCACTCTTACCTATTAACCCACTCTTGGGTAATGCATCCGAATCTTCATCGACATTTGAGTAGAGTTTTCCTCAATGCCTCTCCTCATCTCCATTTCTCGATTTCTTCTTCAAGTACGTCTTCTAACATTCTCTTTTTAACTCATTTCTCTCTCTCTCTCCCTCTCTCTCTCTATGTTTCAATTTCAGTGCTCATTTGGTTTAGATCTGTTAGTTTCTCGGTGAATCTGAATCGTGTATGTACATTGTGGTGTAGTATTTGGGGTTAGTTTCAAGGTTTTCTTGGAACTCGTTTGTATTTGGGCCACTGTTCTTGATTTTCTTGCAGATTTGAAAAAAAAGCGTCTGGAGTTTCTCGAAAAAGAGATCAATATATGATTTGCTAATTGCTTTATGTGGTTACAACTTTCTCTATATTTTGATTCAATTGATTTGATGGTAATGTGTTGGGCAAATTACATCAATAATCTCTACATTATACGTTTTACTTCAATTTTAGTTCTTGTAATTTTAATTAGGTCGATTGTGACTGTTAATATGAGATTTTGTGGTAATTAAGTCCAATTGATAATGATGATTAGGATTTTTAAAGAAAAATGGTTACGGAGTTGGTTGATGGTAACACATTAGTATGGCACATGTCATTCATCTGTTCATTTTCAATCAAAAAACACTAACATTTTAATCAATTGGATCAAAATGAGATAAAAATCATAAATTTGGGATCAAAATTGAACCAATTAAAACTACATGGACCGAAATGGCACTAGGATGAATTATAGGGACTACCAATGTAATTTGTTCTAATGTGTTTCTGAAATGTCTCTTGTTTCTAAAGTGTTTTCATTCTTAGATAGGCTCTTTTGATAGATATCAGTCTTTTGAAACTATACATCTGATTTATGGACAGGAAAGTGTTTTCATATGCTTATGTGACTGAATCTTTTTTTGCAATGTCCTGAACTTTATTCACTAATTTCACATGGACAACAGTGAAAATTTTACAATAGCTTACACAAACCTCTTATCTTCTTTCCATGCTAAGGCATTTCACAGCTTGGTTGTGACTAGTGAACAACCAAAATATTATGCATTTTATATAGATCAATATGATTGTAAACTTGAAACTTGTGATATGTGATTTGTGTAGTTGACCCATATCGGGATTAGTTGTTGAGTTGAGTTAGGACTAAGGAGCTTGCACTTGCTGTAAGTCTTGAGATGATTAAATAGCAGAATGACCATAGTTGTCTGTCCAGGTGAATAGACGCCATTATGATCTTCCGGATGAGTGTCTTCATGAATGTGAAGAAAGGTTTACTAAAGTTGGTGAATGAGCTGGGGAAAGTTTGGAGGAAATTAGTCAAACATTAAAATGTTATGCAAAAAACAAAAAACAAAAAACAAAAAACAAAAACAAAAACAAAAAACAAAAAACAAAAAACAAAAAACAAAAAACAAAAAACAAAAAACAAAAAACAAAAAAAAGTGAGCCAAATAACTCATAAATCAGGTTCATGCTTGAACAATGAAGCAAAGAATAGATGGAACATGTTAAAAATAGGGTGACTCAAAAATGAATTATAAGGTCAGAACTTCTAATCGAAACGAAATTTGTTAAAAATTGATTGTGGCTTTGTACGAACCTATGTTATGTGGAACGTGGATCATTTTGGTATGTGGAACGGAACATGTTCTAAATTGTGGTATGATAAGAGTAGACTTGTATATATTACACTTAAGAATTTGAGATATTTTTGAAATAAATTTCTTTTAACTATTAGGCATCTAATAAATGTATTATTACTTTTTTTCACTTTTGATGTTTTTGTCTTGTCAAAACATAACTCACTTTAGATTTTAATTCATTATATTTGATTTTTTTTTTCCTCCTAAGGTAACATTGAAAGAAATATATTGAAAAAAAATTTGAGATCGCTTCGGATCACTAAAGCTCCGTTTGGAAACAGGCTAATTTAGTAACTTTTTAGCTATTTGGCTAAAATATGAGTTAAAAAAAACTAGTATGTTTGGGTTGACTTTTTGACTTTTTACGAAAAGATGTGCAAAAAGTAGAGAGAAAAGAGAATCTTTAGCTTTTTGGTATGGGTTGTTGGCTTTTTGGCTAATTTGGTAACTTTTTAGCTTTTTGACTAAAATGGAGGGTTCCCAAACGAGGTCTAAATTTATCATTTTGGAACGGAAGCGTACCATGTTTCAGAATGTGCTTACCAATACGTAATTCGTTAGGGGATTAGCGTTTTCTGGTAACACAAGTATGAACTTAGTTGAAAGATTTCATCTTGGTCATAAAAGTTTATATGATCAATATTTGTTTTAGTACTTCAGATGTGATGATGTCAAATAATCCAATGAAAATTCAATTCAGTTATAATTCCAATGGGCTGATTTGTTAATTGAACAAAAATCCACCTAGTGTTTGAAGTCTAGATAAAAACCCACAAAAGCAGTTCACGTGGGTAAAAAATGCACCACTAGTAACTAAGATTAGGTTGTGAAATTTCAATACGTAATATAGATTGCTCCTCCTTGTTGCATAATTGTCATCTGTGCTGAAATATTAACTTTTTTGTTAAAAAAATCATTCGCTGTTCGACTTTAGATGATCTCCATTCTTTTTCTTTCATTCCCCCTTCCCCTAATCCCCAAAGCACAAGAAGCATCCTTATTTGTATGAATTTTTCCAGGATGTGATTTTGACTTTCTAGATAACCTACTTGTGAGCAAGGCTTTTGATATGTCAAATCAAATGTAATTCCATGACATTTGAGATGGCATCAAGTAATCGATATTCAAGATCTGCTGCCGACATGGGGTTCAGTTTAGAAGTCAAAAGGAGTTCAAGGCCACGAGAAAGCTCAAAAGTTGTGAAGCAGAAGATCCCAACACCTCAAGCAAATCAAATTCTAGAGTCTCAAGACAAGCATAAGATAGAAAGTCCATTTGGTCGTCCTTACCTTGATCTGTATCATGAATCAAGACGTAGTGCAGATGATGCGCTCTTGTCCCACCCAAAATCTTCCAAGAACTCTCAAAAGCCTTGGATTGGGAAGAAGGCAACTAAAGACGATGAACTCATTAAGCACATGTCAAATTTGCCTGGTTATCTCCAGCGAGTGGAGAAAGGAGAAAATTTCCAAGAGAAGGCTCTAAATTTTGGAGTTCTAGATTGGGAGCGTCTAGAAAAATGGAAGTACAACAAAAAACATTCACCAAGAGGCAACAATCATGCATCTTCGGCTGGCAGTAATTCCAGTACAGTTCAGAGCAAGAGTCTTGCTCCTCACAAGAAGAAACTCCCATCACATTGTCCTCATCTTAATTCATATCACAGAGAAGGCTTTTCTCAAGATGTCAAACAGTCTCGAGGGAAGGTCATACAACAAGATTTTGAAATCGCTCCAAAGAACACCTTGGATGCGCTGCCAAAACCGCATCAGACAGACAAGTCTTCTGGCAGGAATTATTCTGAGATAAAGCTTGAGAGGGGAATGAGGAAAGATGCAGATCAAAAGATCACACTAGAAAAGGAAACTTCATTGTCAGGCTTGAGAAAACATGGGTTCTCACACGTTTCTAAGCGTGAGAAAAGAGCTCAGAGCAGTGTAGCAACCTATAGGGTAGAGGAGTGGCAAGAATCAGAATATTATCTTGGTAAAAAACACTCCCATGGAGAACACAAAAGCGCTGTTGTCCTTTTGCCCAAACATTCTCCCCAAAAAAGTTGCTCTGAGATAGTTCAACCTTCAGAACTGAAAGGACCATTTCACGCAAAACCAAGGGAAGCAATTTGGGAGAGCTTTCCAAATGGCTTTGGTACTGAGGTGGTTCACTCTGCAGAACTCTATCATCAGATTCCATGCTCTTGCCCATTGCCGCTTCAAGTAGAGACCAACTCTGAGTCTGGCATGAGGCCACACAGCTTGACCCATACTCAGAGCATGGAGCTTCCAAATGATGCTTGTCGCACATTCATGTGTCCAAATGAAACACCAGTCATGTTATCCCAATGTAAATGCATAGATGAGAATGCATCAAGTGTGAATCCTTCAAATGCAAATGCAATTGATGCTCCAAAGAGTTTGGATCATGAAGCTACTGAACCTGCAACTGTAAAGGGAAGTCATTCATCACCAAATCGTCAATTTAGCTTCAGCCTTAGTAAAATCAGAAAAAGTTTGAGTTTTAAAGAGAGGGCAGCTGTTCCACAGTTTAGTTCCACTTATGCTGAGAGCACAGACCTTCCTTATGATGCTTCTTGCATCTTCATATGTCCAAATGACTCACCAAACACACCATCCAGTGCAAATGCAATTAGAACTTCCAAGCATTTGGATCAAGAAACTACCGAACCAGCGGCTGTCAAAGGAAGTTATCCACCACCAAACCGTCGATTTAACTTCACCCTTGGTATGATGAGCAGAAGTTTCAGTTCTAAGGAAGGTTCAAGTGTTCCACAACTGAGTTCTACGTATGTTACAGTCAAGTCTGGTCCAGTGAGATCCGAAGTGTCTGATTCTTTGGATAATGCAAGCAAAAGCAAAGCTAATACTCATAGTAGAACAAGGTCCACCCCTCTAAGAAGGTTACTAGACCCTCTACTGAAAACCAGGGTAACAAGTCGACACCATTCTGCTGAGACCGTTCAGCAATTGACAAGAAATTTGCATTTGACATCCGAAGTTACCAGTAGTACTGAATCCGTTCAGGACAAAAGCCACGAGGCATCAACAGTCCAAGCTCTTGTGCAACTTACAATGAAGAATGGACTCCCTTTGTTCAAACTTGTTGTCAATAACGACAGAGACATTCTCTTTGCCACGAAAAAAATAAATTCACTGAGCAAGGATGATGCCGAATGGATTTACACATTCTACTCGGTCCATGAAATTAAGAAAAAGAGTGGCAGCTGGATAAGTCATGGGCATAAAGGAAAAGGTTATGACTATGGATATAACATCGTGGGTCAGATGAAGATTTTGAGCTCTTGTTATCCTGATTTGATGGTACAGAGTTCCAAGGATCAATTTACAGTGAGAGAGTCTGTTTTGTATAGTGGGAATCTTCAACAGGTTGATGAGGGAACGCAAGAACTAATGCCAAACGGGGAGCTTGCTGCCATCATTGTCAAGATCCCAATTGGGAATTCATGTAATGATGGAGATCGGAGAAATAAGGGGAAACAGTCAGTAGGAAAGAGATTCCTGGACTGCTTACAGGAAGATGGAAACTCTTTTGAAAAAAGGGAAACTGAGAATTTCAATAGTACTACGGTCATTCTTCCTGGTGGTGCTCATGGCTTGCCTAAGAAAGGCATTCCTTCTCCATTGATTGAGAGATGGAAATCCGGTGGGTCGTGTGATTGTGGAGGCTGGGATGTTGGTTGCAAACTAAGAATTCTTGCCAATGACAATCAGAGCTGTCAGTTTCCAGGACCATCCATATCTTTCTCCAATCCAGATCATTTTGATCTTTTCGATCAGGTACTACTTTTATTTCTCTGCCTCTAATATTGATGTCATTTTGTTTCGTTATGATATTAGTTAATGATTTACGTTCTGCGCAGGGAGGAGCTCAAGACGGTCAGCCAATCTTCAGCCTGGCACCATTCAAGGAGGGGATTTACTCAGTTGAATTCAGTTCATCGATTTCTTTGTTACAAGCATTCTCAATTTGTGTTGAGGTCCTAAGTAGTCAGAAATCATTTAAATTCTCAGAAGTGAATAACCTCTCTGAAGCAAAACTTTTCCATGAATCGGCTTTTACTGGATCTGATAGGAGAAAGACTCCCACCAATGTCCAAGAAGTACCCACGAATTATGTCCCAGCCCCACCTCCATCTCCTGTTGGAAGAGTCTAGTTTCATGCAAGGTATCAGCTCATTCAGCAAGGTATGGCATTTTGGGTCTGATCCTGGTGAGAAATCTTTCTTCATAGAAACAAGATATTCACTATCTAAGGAAGATCTTACTATTGGTATACTTCACCTGGTCCTTAGTAGCCTTCCCAAAGTCAGCCTAACCGGTTACCTTCGGAAAGGCGCTAAAAAACAGGCCTATAGGTTCGTCCTTATAATAGAAGTATAATTAGCTAATAAAGAGAGAATAAATGTACTGAAACTTGAAGGGAATGGGATCTTGAGTTGGGAAGACTTCATTGTTTGGTTTTGGCATCAAGTTAGTATATACAATTTGAAGTACAAGTGAATGAAATGATGGTTATGTAGCTCAGTTTGTGTGAAAAGTAGAGATCTGAAATTGTAATGAAATTTTTGCAATTTCATCTGAAAGTAATAAGCCTCTTTCTGCACTAAGCACTTCAAATATTGAAATACTATTTACAGAAAGACTTCATGGTTTCGTTTTTGGCATCAAGTTAGTATATACAATTTGAAGTACAAGTGAATGAAATGATGGTTATGTAGCTCAGTTTGTATGGAAAGTAGAGATCTGAAAATGACATATTTTAGAGCTGCTTGAAATTGTAATGAATTTTTTTGCAATTTCATCTGAAAGTAATAAGCCTCTTTCTGTAATAAGCACTTCAAAAATATTGAAATACTATTTACAGAGAAAATGTAGCACACAATGCACAAAAATTCTCAGGGTGAGTCTTACATGGGATGTGGGACCTCCCACCTTCATGTGAGAGCTTCTGTGCACAGATTTTTTTTTTGTGCATATAGCATTGCTCTTTTGAAAACTCATGGTTTAGGTCCATACTCTATGTTAATTTATCTAGTGGAAGACAACTGTGATGTACATGAATTTGTTTATTAAAGATGATGAAGGAATACTTTGAAGGATATATTTGCATATTAATGGCAAGGAAAATGATATTTGTTATTGGATGAAGTTCACTTTGTTCTTTTTGATCTCCTACGTGATTTTCACGTGACAAATGTTGTGTACAAGAAAAAATTTCCAATGGTAATACCAAATCATCACCGACAAGTGTATGGCCATTCAATAATAAATTACTATGTAGACATAAACAAATCTCATTAGGTAGATGTGGCAGTTATTGAATTGTCTTGGATGAGATAATTACATCTAAATAATGGTGTTCACCATTCGGTGTATTATTTTGTTATTAATCGCTAATACTATGTGTCAGTGTCAGTAATATATGGTATCATTGTAATATTGAATGTGGAAAAACCAGCATAGTTAAGATATGGTGAAAAAATTAGTGAATCATCCAGTACTAAAGGGCTTTTGAACAAAGCTATCTATCAGATCCAAAATTATAGCTGGATTTGCCTATAGTTCTATGGAACGCAAGTACTACCACTTACAAATTGAAGCTGAATAACAATGTTTCTATCCAAATGCAACATTGTTTTGGAGATGCCCTGCCAAATATGATACCTAGTATGGCATCTTCACTGATTCTGCACAAAAAGAAAAAGAAGAGGAAGAAAAAGAAGGAAGACAGCCAAGAGCTAGTTTCAAGATAAGCCGAGTATGCGGAGTTGTGAGAGAGTGATTATAACTTATAGTTTAACAACTTATAGCATATAACTGTGAACATAAGTTGATTTTTGACTTATAAATTAAACTTCTCCTCCCCCACTCAAAGAATAAGTTGATTTTTGACTTATAAAAAGTTATAAACTGTATTGTTAAGCTGAACCAAACACATCAAAATAATTTAAATTAAGTTAAAAACTGAAATAAACTGGAAATAAGCCTTACCAAACAGGGCCAAAGAACTATACAAAATGAGTCGAATATATCCATTGTACTCGCTGTTGATATCATCGAACTGTTTATTACTTGACTTCCTAGAAACAGAAAACTTTCAAACACTCGATACATGAATTACAAACAAAACGAGGTTTCCACTCATACAATGTAAAGATATCGCAACCAATTCGCATGATCATCAGATAGTTAATTGTCTATAAGATTCCACTACCCGATACACCACTACACCACTTCACAAGTCAACGTGTGACGCGTGGTGAATACAGATAAACCATTGGCCATTAATCCTCTCAAACACATTAGTCGCAAACTGTCTTCCCCAGCTGCTGCCCTTCGTCTTGACCAATTCGATACACGTAACATACCCTAAATCACCTCTAACATGAACTTGAACATCCTTGATCTCAATCTGTAGTGGGAATTCGTAGTCAGCCCATACAAATTCCCAGCTACCCATTACGAGGTCGTAACCAGATATGCCGCTCACACCAGGGTGGACGACACACACGTTATCCTCTTTTGCCCAAAGGGCTTGCATGGAAGCAAGATCGCCATTCTTGAATGAGTTGTAGAATCGAGCATTTGCTGCTAGTACAGAGGCTTTGCCATCCTCCTGGAGAACTCTGAGGCTGTCCCTGATTTTTGCAGCTTGTGCATAATTCTCTTCCTGTATGGCAATCTGTAGCTCTCGCTCTAATGTCTGTTGCTCGTCTAGAATGATGCTTTCACCGCTCATAGTTCCCTCTGAGTCCTCGCTTTTGACTTGACACAGTTTGAATGAATATGAACGAGAAGCTTTTTGATGGGGGGCTGCACTGCAAAGGTACGAGGTTAGACCCACTTGCATCTGAAGAACAAAACTGAAAGCCCTGATACCATTGAACCAAATTAAGTTTTTTTAAAACTAAATATAAACCTTTTAGATAAAAAAAACTCAATTTTTTTTTTTTTTTTTTTTTTTTTCCAAAAAATGGTGTCTTTTTTAGCAAAATCCAAACTTAATATAATTGAGAAAAGGAGAGCCTTAATATAATTACAAAATACTGAATTGTAACATACCGAAGAAGATGTAAAATGTAATTTGTGGGACAATAAGCACAAAAAACAAAAGCTGGGAAAAAAAATGATCTGTAATGATGGAAGTATCAAACAGCTTAACTGTTGCATTTAAATATCTCAAATAAGTTTCTTTGCTATGAAATTTAGTGCTCCTCTTCTTGAACTTGAAGAAACCACGTGAAGCATAGGAACTTGTTTATCAATATTATGAATGCTGTTATACAGGGTATCAATTGCAAGCTGAATTATGTTTGCAATACAGATTTCTCAAAAAGCTATTACTTTATGCCTAGATGCTTCAATAAACAGAGGCAGCCACATATGAACACATAGAAAGCAGGAAAAGAATCATATTTCGTCCAAGATAGAGGATAAGAGTAGGTCCATTCAAGTTTTCACATTCTGATCCTCTTCTACAGATAGGGAAAATGGCTTCTTCTCTCCTTTCAGCCTGAACAGCTCCGATGCCAATATGTTGCTTTAAGGATCAAATTTAAGTCCCAATATATCCCAATTAGAAGGGCATCTACAAAGTGTGAGCAGTTCTGCAGAAACTGTCTTGAAAAAGACGAGTTTTAGCATGTTATAGGAGGCAGGGCAGGGGGCGAAGGAATAGACAAGAGATGAGCATTATAGTCAATAGGCACAACTGCATGTCAGACATCAACGCGATTCACATTCATACTCTAATTAATATGATGTTGTAGCTTGCAAAGAAAATTTCACAAGTATTCTGTTTCTGACATGTTGCCTTCTGTAAATATAACAGAGAATGGCATGGCAAAGAAAACTTACTGTATTTGGCAGTTCTCCAACTGCAATGGCGGTGATTAGGCAAGGCCCATTTCCCATTTTCTCGTCCAAAACTACCGACTAAAACTAAATTGTGTTGCTTCATACGTGGTGATGAGGGGTGATGAAGCACCCACGACTGATTAATGCATGGAAATGGAAAGGTACTAAAGTCCCTGATATAAGATACAGTTCCCTGCAAAAATAAAAAATAAAATAATAATAATAATAAAATGAACACTCAATACACTACAAAGAAATGAACTCTAAATATATATTAAACACAACCAAAAAATAAAATAAAATAAAGAAAGAAAGATAATCAACAATATAAGTATTGTACTGATAGAAAACAGTGGCATGTTAACTCTCTACCTTCAGAGTCAATATTCAAAAAAGCATTTTCACAACAAGAAAATTAATGTCTTGTGAAATGCATAATCAATCAAGCTGTTAATTAATGTTATGTGAACTTCACAATCAATCAAGCTGGTAATCATCCCATTATTGCATGAATTAATAAAAGCCTTATTCACTTTTACCATTTAATTACCCATAAAATGGAAAATTTACATTTGGTTGAGCCCCCTTTGTTGCCCACTTAATACGCTTCTCTTACCAATCACACGACAAATGCGTAATGATTTGACCATCCCCTAATTTTGATGAAACACCATTTCTGAATAACTCTGAATAAAATGCTCAACATTAATTTGAATATAGTTCTTCAATAAATTTGAAATTCTGTATTCAACCTCGATTCAAACACCTGTTACAAAGCAAAATCAGTAGAATTTATGTTCTAGTTCTTCAAATTCTCTAATTGAGCAATCTCACACTTAGTTGATAGAATAAATAATTTTTTATTTTAGACATAAAAATTATATTGTTTATAATAAATTGTATTATATATGATAAATATTATAATTTATAAATCAAATTATATATATATTATATATATGATAAATTATATTATATAAAACAAAGTCAAATATGAAAACGGAGAGGGAGAGGGAGAGAGAGAGAGAGAACAGAATAGATCGAGAGAGAAGCAAGGGCAGCAAACAGACGAAGAGAGAGAGAAGCAAACAGAGACGAAGAGGAGATCGTGAGTGAGAGAAGAGAGAGAGGCAATGACCTAGGGCTTTGAAGAGAGAGACGAAGACTAGGGCTTCGAAGGAGAAGTCAAAGGACGCGAGATCGAAATCGTTGAATAGATGATTGAAGCCAACGACCAAATTCTCTCCTTGCCCTCTCAAGAGTGCTTCCTTCTCGCATCAGATTCGCGTTTCCCTCTCCTCAGATTCGTGATTTTGTTGCGATTCTTCCTCAGAAGCGCAGAATCGCGCTTCTTCCTCAGAGTCGTCACCATCTGAGACGATTCCTACTACTAAGAGCTCACATATATAAGAGGTTCATTGTATGATAGGTGGACCCATACACTAAGGTGTATTGTGTGAGTATAAAATGGTATAAGGTTCCATCCACTGCATGTATAACTTTTGTGAATAATCTACTGCCCACTTTTAAAGCATTTAGCCTATAAAGCACGGACACCTCTCCGGAGGTTATGTACAGCTATGAAGCATAGACACGGCAAAATCAGCGCCGTGGCGGTGTCGGACACGGGGACACGCCGGGGACACGTATGGGACATGCCATATGCCGTGTTCCCTTAATTTAATTGTTTTTGTTGTAGGGGACATGCGTGTCCAGATCTGGACACGGCGTGAGACACGGCAAGGAGGGAGAGACAAAGGAGAGAGCGTGAAGGAAGAGAGTGAAGAGAGACAAACCTGTCGAAGATCGAAGATCGAAACTCCATGAATCCAGTCGAAGATCGAAGCTCCAAGCTCTATCAGTCAATCGAGCAATCGAACAACCCAGACGATCGCGATCTGTCTCTCTCTCTCGCCTTCACAATCTGTCCCTCTCTCTCTCTCTCTCTCTCTCTCTCTCTCTCTCGATTGCAATCGCGATCGCGACCTCGACCTGTCTCCCTCTCTCTCTCTCTCTCCTTCTCTCTGCCTTGCTTTTGTCATTTTATCTGAGGGTTTAACTATTATTATTATATATTATATAATAGTTATTATATAACATATTATTATATATTATATAATAGTTATTATTATTAATATATAATACATATTGTAAGATAATATATACTCATACATATTAATAAAAAAATAAATAAACACATGTATGTAAAATAAAATAAAAAATTAATTATTTAAAAAATATAATAAATAAATAAAATAATTAATGTGTATTAAAATAAAAATATTTATAAAAAAATTAAAAAATTTGTTGTGTCCCCTGCCGTGCCCGTGTCCATGTCCCTGTTTTTTAGAAATTGCTGTGTCCCGTGTCCATATGCGTGTCCGTGTCCGTATCCGTATCCGTATTTCATAGATGTACAGGTGTCTGACACGTGTCGGACATAGACACACATCGAACTTGCTTCAAACATGTGTCAGATACGCTAGGACACTTTGAACACGCTGTGGACATGTGGAGTACTATTTTTTTAACTATAAATTTGATAAAATTAAATATTTGATATAAAATATATATTAAATATTTAAAAATATACATACAATAAAAATATATGTTTTGGTCCTCAATGTGTCATATCCAGCACTTTTTAAAAATTTACGTGCCCGTGTCGTGTCCGTGCTTCTTACCACTTAGCATAGCTGATTAGTCTGTTTGCACAAGTGCACACACTCACGCATGCTAGAGAGAGAGAGAGAGAGAGAGAGAAGGTAGTTGGATTCCCATGTAATGCACAAAAATTGATAAAGTTGAGCTTCCATCACTAATAGCTTGAAGATTGATTGAGTTATGGACATAAGCTATGAGCTTGATCATAATCATAACCTTGATTCTAAGAAATCTAGTTAAACAAACAACTTTAAAGTAGTGTTTGGATCATCGACTTGGGCAGTGTTTGAATCATGAATTTGGGTAGGGATTATATTGCATTCACATTTTACCCACTTTTTTTCTTTCTCTTTTCAAATATCTATCAAAATCCATGATTTAAACATAGCCTAGTAGCTAAATTAGGTACTGAATTTGAAAATTAAAGGTTCTCGTAAGAATGAAACAGGGTGTGTTTTTCAAAAGTTCCTTTCGGACTGATATTTGTTTTCAATGTACAGCTTCAAAAAATCCAACCTCTATTTTGTAACTAAAATATAATATAACGTATCAAAGCTACATATTATAACGGTATTCAGTCACTAGTTAGCTTAACCAAAACACCAAGTGTTCATTTTAGGTAAACAAACCCTACTACCCTAACTATAAATTTGGCCACACGAATCCAATTCGCCATTCCACCAATTGTTTAATATGCATAGTTATTCTTACTTCCAAACACATTCTTAAACTTTCTCTACATTCTATTAAATTCCAGATTATCCAAATCCTAATGATTCCCAAATCCCCAATTTTCCATTTGTCCCTACCACTACAATTACACATGAACTTAAACCCACAGACCAAAAACTCAATTTGTTTGGGAAACACAAACAAAAATTATACAAGCACATGAATTGCAAAGAATTTTACAATAAAAAAGACGACATATACAAACAAAACTCACCTTGTAAGAGGAAATGGGTCGATTAAGCCAAGGTTTCACTGACGGCGCGTGGAAATTTGAAACCTCCATAGTTAAAGGAACCAAATTACAAAACCATCAATAGCATATATGTGTGTGTGTATGTGTTAGGGTTTTGTGGAGAGTTAAGGTTAGGGTTTTGTGACTTGCTTGACTTTGAATGTTCGAAGAAGCTCTGTAAGAGAGAGAGACAGAGAGAGAGAAGATAATGGAGAGAAAATAATTTGGGCCGACGCAACTTGAATATGGGTTGGATCGAATGAGGGAAAGAAAATAATTTGGGCCCATGTAACTATCACTTGAATAGGAGGATATGGTGAACTCAATGATTCAGGGAAAAAAACATCATATGATTCAGGGTTAGCCGAACTCAATACCCTAGTTCAAGTTTCCAGATCCCTCGCATCTCCCTGAACACAAAAACATAAAATAAAAATAATTAAAAAAAATAAAGATTTTTACAATGAAAAATTCTAATATACACACCGTTGAAAAGGTATACTATATGCACCCTTAGTTATTCAATTTTTTCTTTAATTATGATTAATTTTCTTCTTTAGTTATGATATTGTTTTAGTTATGATTCATAATTTTTTTAATTATATCTTATATTGTGTTTAATTATGATATTTTTTTAAATTATAACTCATAAATAATAAAATTATAATATTTTATTACTCAGTTATAAGGTATATATGATATTCAAAACCTTTGAGGAGGGTTTACCAAATAGCGTTCCCCTTTTACAATACTGTTATTCATAAGATTAGAGGACTCTCCTAGGCCATTTGGGAACCCAATGAAAAATCTGCGTTTTTAGCGGCTTCTAAAACATAGTGGGTGTTTTGGAAGTGGCTATTTTAGAGATTTTTTGATTATTTGATTATTTTAATAGATTATTTTAATTTTTGTGTTTGGAAAGTTGGTTGGATTTTTATTTGAGTTATTATATTAAAAAATGTGTTGAAATGATGTTTAAAGTTAAAATGACAATTTTGTCTTCAATTTCACATCTTTCAAAATTAATTTAAAGGGGCAAAATCGTCATTTTAGCCTCAAAGGTTAGGCTGCCACAATTTTCAACCTACACACTGTCATGCTGCCACTGCCTCCGTTTTTTTTTTTTTTTTTTTTTTTTAATATAAATCATTAGATGAGAATTTTTTAGGCTTTTTGGCTTAAAATGTGTTTGAGGCTATTTTACCCTCAAAAGTGGGTTCCCAAACACCCCCATAGCCTCTACAGCTAAAAACGCCAAACATCATTTGAGAAGTGCAGAAACGCAATGTGTGACATTACTGCATTGCCCTCCATGTTAATAAATAGCTAAAAATGAGCCACAAGGGTCAAAAAGTAAATTTTCTAAGTTGGGTGGGGATATTTTGATCATTTTACGGTGAAGTGATATCATAAACAAATATTAACTCAAAAAACAAAAAAATAATTTTTTACTAACTTCCCAAATCACTTTCTAAAAAGGCTAAAGAACTTTGTTCAAAGTCAAAAGTTAGCAAAAGCTAACATTTAACCATTTTCCAAAACACCCCTCATGAAACAAATAATTTAAACAATGTCCTTGCTAAATTCAAAATAAATAAAAAATATATATATATATATTTGATAAATTTGAGTTAAACTGAAATTGAGGTAATTTCTTTAGAATTATGCTAGGGATCCTAAATAATCTATGAGTAATGATTGAGGTCTCCACTTTCACAAGACCCCCACAAAATCCCTATAAATCTAAATCACTCATGATGTGGACCCCATATATACATGAGTGGACCCTACACATACATAGAGAATTAGGATCACTTTAGGGGTGCAGGGGTCATCCCCAAAGGGGGTCCTAAATATTTCCCATAATGTACTAAATTTTTTATCAAATCTCTTACATGGGTGTGGGACCTGGATACATGTAGATTTGTGTGGGTTACATACTCATGTAAGAGATTTAGTAAAAAATTTGATAGATTATTTAGGACCCATAGTGTTTTTCATTTCTTTAAGTAATTGTAGAGTCATGGGAGACCTAACACAAATGTTGAATCTAAAGAAGGGCGTCGTGTCATGTTAGATCGGAGACGTATTTGTGTTGCGTCATCTCAGATTCGTGTTAGGATTGCCCCAACATGAACCCGACCCGTTTATTATTTTCGTGTTATCATATCGTGTCATTTTTTGTCCTTGTCCGATTTATGTTATGTTAACGTGCTATGTCAAAAAATTTCACTATTAACTAAAAATATCAAATATAGCGATCCCGGTTGTCCCTCTACTGTTCTGTTGTATTCCGGACTCGGTTCCGTGAAGTTAGTGGTTGTGTACCTTGTTGTTATCCTTTGATTCCACCAGTGTGAGTTTTAGGATGTTTTGGGCAGGTGAATTGCAGGTTGGTTGAACCTTAGTCTCAAATCTAGTTGTCCAGGTTTTTGGTGTTACGCTCGAGCGGGTCATTCTGCGCTTGAGCAGAGTTTGGTTTTTGGTTGTCCGCTCGAGCGGGTCTTTTTTCGCTCGAGCGGGGTTTACACACTTCCAGTATTTCGTGGCCCTGCAAAACTTCTGCACGTGTGTTTTCTACGCTCGAGCGGGTTTCTTGCACTCGAGCTGGTCGTGCTCGAGCGGGATTGTTGGCGCTCGAGCGGATAGTTCTTTTCCTGAAAAGTTCTGGGAGATGAAAATCTGTGCTCGAGTGGACTGGCTTTTCACGCTCTAGCGGATGTGTTTTGCTTTTGTTTCTTGGCACTCGAGCAGTCATCTATACGCTCGAGCGGGACCAGATGTTTGTGCTTTACGCTCGAGCGGGTCGTACGTATATGAGTTATTCGCTGGGTGATTTTAAATCACTTTTTACTTTTCTTTCTCTCCCCTACTTTTTTCTAAAATCCATTTTTGAGAGCCCCTCTCTCTAGAAACTCCCTTCTCTCTAGGGTTTGATCTAGTTAGAGTGTCCTCCTTCCCTTCGACCTTTGTAAAAGTTGTGTTGATCGTCGAGGGCGTCGTTTTGATCCGAAAATCTTGGTTTTTGGAGCACTTTGGTTTTGGTCTCTTCTCCATCCGAGCTCTAACTTCGAGGTAGGGATATCATACTCTTCTTTATGAGCTTTGTCTTTAAATTTTAGCATTTCGATATGTTGGGGGTTGTTGGGTAATTTTGAGAGAGTTTGGGCCTTTGTGTAATTTTACAAAAGTTGGGGTTTTTAAATATATAAAAACCTAAATGCATTTTTGGCATGAAGGAATGAAATTAATGTTGAAACATTGATGAAAATGAAACCGTGGGGGTTGAAATGTTAATTATGGAAAATGCCCTAATTACATTGATTGATTAATTTGTATAATTAATTGTTGGAAATAAGGGATTGAATTGAGAATGTGGAAATTGGAAAGGGAAGAGATTAGAGGGTTTAGTTGGATTATTTATCGCTCACCTAATTGAAATGTTGATTTAATATCCATTTTGTGCATTTATTTTCTGTTTAGAAACAACTGCTTTGGGCTATCGGTGGAGGATAGTCTTGATTGTTGTAGACAATGCATGATGATTAGGCAAACTAAAACTAATCGATTGAATGCGTCATAAAGTATGACGGTAGATAGAATACATTAATTTTATGTATTGATTGATTGTGTATAGAACATTTGTGTTTATATGCATTTGTGTGTAGAGGAGGAGATGGGGGATGTACTACGCGGTTTAGGGGAAGATGAGGGATGAACCTCTAAACCGGATAGTGTTGGGAGGAGATGGGGGATGAACTCTGTAGATACAGCTCATATGCTTGTCTAGAGAAGTGAAGATACAGCTCATAGGCTTATCTTTGAGAAGTGTAGATGCAGCTCATATGCTTGTCTAGTGAAGTATGGATACAGCTAATATGCTTATCTGTTGATGTGTTGATATAGCTAATATGCTTATCTATTAAATAAAGGTGGAGAATGAAAAGTGACATAGACTTGTATGTTATGAAATTGTGATGTGATATGTGGATGTATCAGTGTTGGTCATCTATCAATTGCTAATCTTTTAGTCATTGTTCATAGTTGGTTTAGTATATTTCTGCTGGGCTGTGGCTCACCCTATATGGGAACATCATTTTCAGGTACAGGTAGCATGCCACCTCCAAGGACATAGCTTGGGAGGCTAGAGGCGGACAGACTTTTGTTGTCTTATTTCCTTTTGATGTATTACATGTAAATTCAAGCCGAGGGCTTAATGTGTAATTGAGTTAGTACTCTCTTTTGTAAGCAAGTGTTAACTTGGAAAGCTGTAAGCCCGTAGGGCATTTGCTTTTGTTGTTAACATGTAATACTTTTGTAATGAAATACTCTGATGAATTGAAGAATGTGGATCTTATATGTATAAATCCATGTTTATATTGATGAGTTTAATGTTATTATTTTGAGGGCGTTACAACTTGGTATCAAAGCGTACCGGGTTCGAATACTTTGGGTACGTGGGAAGTGATTAGGATCACAATGGGTTTGTCTCGCTTGATAGAGACTTAGATGTAGTGTCTTATGCTATGTGTTTAATTGATAACATGCTTATGTGACTATGTGGGTATGGGATTTAGTTTCTAGGATGTTGATTGGATCCTTGGGTTTCTGTGAGTCTTGTTGGAAAGGCACTTAATCAATGCTGTTTCTAACCGGAACTCTAGTAACGCTTCGGGACTATCATTATCCGGAAATGAAATTCGTAAGTGCTTATGTGTTTATGTGCTTACGTGGAATGAATTGCAGTTGTCCATGCATTAGGACGCGAGTGCTATAGCTTCGGCACATTTGTAAATGTGCTAATAGTCTTGGTTACCTTTATTAGGATGTCAGGACGAGGGCGTGGTAGGCGTGGCAGGCATGGTAGGCAGGAGGTACCTCTACCGGATGACGTTCCGATAGTGCAGGAGGGAGTTGGTCAAGCCAACGTGGCCGAGCCAGCGGGTCAGCAGGCTATGGGCGCCTTGGCCCGAGAGATAGCGGGAGCTTTGGGTATTCTCAGAGCTGAGAACCAGGTTGCAGGCAGGGCCTTCTTTTTGAAGAGGGAATTCTTCCGGTCTAACCCGGACGAGTTTGTGGGGGATCTGAAGGAGCCACTTAAGGCTGACGAGTGGTTGGAACAGATGAAGAAGACGTTCGAGATGCTGGGCAACGAGAACGGGGCTTTGAAGGTGACCCTGGCATCCTTCCAGCTGAAGGGAGATGCGGGTCAATGGTGGAAGTACAAGAAGGGCAGTGTTGGTGGTGCATGGGAGGCGTTTATAAATGCTTTCCAGGAGAAGTTTTTATCTTCAACTGCAAGGGAGAAGCTGAGGGAACAGTTTTGCCAGCTTAAACA